AAACCCTAATACATATTTTAAACATATTATCATGCAAACTTATACATATTTTAATCCCACGAGGAAGCAGTAATTTAATATCTACAGTTATTGAAACCGCAAAGTCCTTGGTAATGGAAGTAATTAATAGGTGTCATATTATTCCTTTACGTCTGGTCCCGTAATGGGCCGTATAAGTGATAACACTTAACATCAGGTGAACGGATAGCTCCCTTGTCATCTTTAATGAAATGTGAAAAGAACTTGTACTTCTTTGAACGAGTCTGCCTAAGTAAGTAATTAAAAAAGTAAGTAACAGCCTGTACATGTCCCACTGCTGGGCAAAGGCCTCCTCTATACAGAGGGTATCAGGGCATAGTCCACCACGCGGCCCCACTGCGGATTGGCGGACTTCACACATCTTCGAAATATATATTTTTTTGTTATTATTTCGAAAATATGCAGGTTTCCTCACGATGTTTTCCTTCACCGCGGAGCACGTGATAAGTCAGCACTTAAAGTTAAAAACTTCATTGGTGCCGGCACCGGGGATCGAACTCAGGTTGCTCGAGTATATTGAATTAAAGGCGAGCGCCCGGACACTGAGCTATCACGGCTCTGTCTGCCTATTGAAAGTTAAAAAGTTGCCCTTAGTGGGTAGTGAGTACATAAATTTTACATGAAAACCCTGCCTTGTGTACTACAATGGTCTGTGTGTCGCACAAATATTTGTCTCGTGTGGCAATCGAAAATATTTCATAACCTAACAACTGCACAAACAGGGTCCAAACCATCCATTCTGGCAATCTGAAACCGGTGACATATTTACTTTATTTTTTAAGTGAAACTTCTTCGCTCGTATGAGATATATATAAAATGCGTCATAAGTTATCACGCGTATTCTTATGCTGGCAAAGATACATAAAAAAACTTTGCACGTACTTTTTTATGAATATTCTCAAACTCTACCAACGTAGGTACTCTACAATTTCTAATGTATGCATCACAAAACATACATTAATGTTCTCGTAGGGGATAGTAATAATATGAATTTGTTTAAAATGTTATATAAAATAGATATCTACGCAGTCTATTGTGTAGGTAATCGTAATAAGTAGAAGATATAATACATCACGATGCTCATTTTATTCAATGTAGGTAAATGGATATAATCACAATATTATATAATAGTTCTATCAAAGTGCGTTCAAACAAGCAAACGTTTATCCATTGTTCCAAAAATCGTTTGCATTCGAGCAATGGACGATTTTATGTTAAAAAGGTACACAGAATGGGACCGGAGACAATGTCATCGTTTGGTGAACGATTGTGCAAGTATATTTGAGCGCGGGCTTATCCGACGGCTGTGGTGCAAGCCCATTGTTCATTCACAATGGGGAAAGCATCTACTTTAATATGGAGTGGGAAGGGCAACGTATTTTTCACCGTTGAACGTCGAAACTGGCTTTTTATCATGAGATTTTTTTTAAGTGAGAAGGTGACAAGCTATCTTGCGGTTCGCCTGATGTAAAGTGGTAACCGCCGCCTAAAAAAATTTGCATTCTTTTTTAATAAAGTGGGCCAGGTCTCCTACCTCACTCACCAGATGAAACACAGAAGTATAACGGTTCCATTTCATGCCGGTCTTCTGTGAGGTCGTGGTCACCCATTCGTACAAGAGCCGAAGCTGTTGCGTGGCCCTACGACAGTGTAACAATTGTTATTTATTGAGAACATTTTAATAGATTTCTACGCGTCACGCTAGGACTCTCCCATCAAAATGTTACGTTCAACGATACGCAACATTGATGCGAATACAAAGTATTAAGATAATATGTTTTACGTCATCAACGATAATTTTACTTGTTGAATCCAAGAAACATATTTATCGGTTAGTGTTTATAAAACGTTATATTTTAGTTTTTTTACAATAGTCAGTAGAGATAAGTATGTCTAAATGTAAAACATAAATATCCCTTATTGATATATAACCTTCTGAGTCTTTTTCTTTGATGAAAATAGATAGTGTACCAGAAGAGTCTCCATTTTAACATTTAAAATGGAGACTCTTCTGGTTTCTTTCCAGCCCTAAAACGTAAAATTTAAAGCATCGTTTTCTTCTAAAATTATTTTTAATTTAAAAAATATTTTCCATTTCTAAAAAAAGTAATCAAGTCGAAATTAAGAGATTATAATGCAGTTTTCATAGCGATGCGATCCTTTTCTAAGTTTATTTTATTTATTTACACTCTTGTCCCATAAAACAATATTTATAATTATAAGGTATGAACCTGAATTAAAAACCTAATTCATTAATATATTAATTATTTACGATTTATGATGGAATTTGTTGTTCGGTACATTTGCGTTATTGCAATTATTGTTTTTACAAAATCTTTTATAATACTAATGCATTTTATGCAATAGTGTTTAGCAGAATATTGTTTAAATTTAGAAAAAATACACCGTTGATGTCTTTATTATTAAAGTGCGATTACTATTAAAAAGACATCAACGGTGCACATTTTAAGTGATGCTTTCATGACGGAATAATTTGACGCTAAAATATAATAATTTTTAATGTTTGTGAAATATAAAGTTTAATTAGCACATCATACAATTTTTACAATAACAAATTTAGTACTTATGTGTTTATTTAAACGGTCTACGAAAAAATAAAGTACTAAACGTTTGAAAACAATAAACTAAGCATCCTTCATCCTTGACATAAAACACTAATGAATTGATTGTCAAGGCAAGTCATTTTCATGTTGATACCTTTGATATTAAAATACTCTTGCAAATGAATATGTAGACTTACTGTTTTTCTCAGTTTGATCATACGTTTAATACGTGTAAAGCTACTGTTAATCCAATTTTATCTTTTCACTAAAGAACCTGACTTTGATTCTTGTATGGACAAAGCGATACGATTTAAAAAATTTGATATATTTGTTTTAAGCCAACGCTACAGTTTTAATCGAAATGCCTTTTGCATTTTCCTGTGCCGCCTGCTACTAGATGTCACTAGTACCATTAGTCACTCTCTATGGCATGCGCATTTAATGCGTCTCTTTCGTGCAGGGAAAAAAAATAATTTATGTACAAGTGCGACATCGTTAATCTCCGCTCGATGTCGTACTATTTCGTGCATTGAATATTTTATAATTTTATTTCATAAAACTGGAACAAGTGTAAAGGTTGCGTGTCGGAGTTGAAATCAGAATCAAGGTCTAAAATACGATGGATCACTCGTTATGTGCAATGTTTCGTGATTGAACAAGGTAATATCTATATTCGTATAAGACAAAAGGCACGCAGCCGCTTCGTCCTTCGCACATTAGAGCCATCATTAACTAAATATTGCTGAGGTGATTATCGAAACACTAATGCAAACAGTGCATGTAAGTATTCTTCGGATAAGTGGCGAACGCCAGTAGATATACTTCGCGTTGGTAAAAGCGACGCCTCTACTAATCGTTCCTTCTTGGTGGTGGGTTACTATTGCTTGCTCCTGTAATAATTGTCATATACCAAGTAGATGAATACTTACTAATGAAAACTTAATAAAGTGATCTCAATGGCTAACGTAAAAAATAAAGTAAAGGCACCTAAAAATGCCTCGTCTAAAAGTAAGCGTATTGATAAAAATAGTCAATCATCAACAGGTATAAATGATGCATCATTTTCTCATGTTGTTATGAAAAGGCCTAGTAATGTGGAGACCTTAGGGGCTCACGAGAAATTGCAATTGTTCCTTAAAAATGGTCGACTTATTAAAGATAAACTTAAGATAAGGAAGGATGGTAATTGCAATTTGCATTCAGTCAAGAAAAATTTAATGTCCAAAAGTGGAAGAATAAAAACAAAAAATAAGGCTCATTTAAAATACCTAGATAACATTTTGAAAAATGAATTAAAAATTCAAGATAATAAAAATGAGACAAAAGAAAATAAAAAATCTGACACCGACGGATTAAATAACAATGATAATGGTTTAAGTAATCAGAATGATAATAATACTTCTTCAGGGAGTGGAAGCAAGAAAAAATCTTCAAAGTCCGGTAAAGGAGCTAGATCGAAATTGCTTAATAAACTTAATGATAAAGAAAAAAATTTATCATGGCTGGAAACTCAGTGTTTAACTTATGACAAATCAAGTAAACGTCATATATTTCAATGTGACTACTGCAAAAATTTTTTCATAAATAAAACATCATTACGCAGACATATTTATGTACATCTTAAAGTAGTTCCATACTCATGTCAATTTTGTTACAAAAGTTTTTATGACAAAGAAAATATGCAAATTCACTTAAAGCTGCAGCATGCAAAAGGTCTGAAAATTGTTGATCACCATGTTTGTCGCATTTGTGAAGAACCATTTTTGTTGAAAGATAACTTAGATCTTCATATGGCCACACATAAGAAAAACGAGAAAATGTTGACATGCATATTCTGCAATAAAATATTTACCCATCAAGTTTTTCTGAATGAGCATGAAAAAGTGCATTTAATCACTGGTAAGTACAAATGTTCTGCTTGTGATATGAGTTATGACTACAGAGGCAGTCTTGCTATACATATTAAAAGTCATTTAAAAATCAAAGACTATGTTTGTCAACATTGTGGCAAAGAGTTTCTTCGACTGAATTCCTTAAGAAGACATGTTCAGATAAGCCATGACAGACAAACAATACAATGCCCAGTTTGTAAGAAGAGTTTAAAAGGACATTTAACAGAGCATCTGCGCACTCATGAAAAGAAGCGTCCCCATAAATGTGAAGATTGTGGTCAGAGATTCAACTCAGTCTACACAGTTGAATGTACACCGAAGATCTCACACTGGTGATAGACCATATCCATGCAGGATTTGTGACCGTCCATTTACTCATTCAAATGCTCTTTTGCTGCATATTAGAAGACACACAGGGGAAAAACCATTTACTTGTGCTATGTGCCCACTTTCATTTTCCCAACTACCGCACATGAAGGCACACATGCGAAATATTCATGGTAAAATGAATCCTTATAAATGTGAGAAGTGTAAGCAGTTTTTCAAGCTGAGAGCTCATTTGGAGAATCATTCTAAAACATGCAAGACTGGTGACAAGGCATCGTCATGCGACGAAGTTGGGACTTCTGATGGAAATACAGAGATAAAAGTTGAGGCTGTCATGAGCTTATCACGAATGAGATTCCTGCTGGCTCTACTACTCACCATGATTGCAACCAAAGAAAAACTGAAGTATTTAGGTGCGTAATTTTTTTAATTTATTTAATAAAAAAAATCACATACACAAAATCAGTGCACTGGATGTTTTATTTTTGATTTAGCATACATTGCTTCCTGTGTGTGTGCATTCCCAATAACAGGAACTCATATATTTAAAAAAATGCAAATCAATCTCCATTCGTTTTGAGCTTGAGACTACACAATGTTGATTTTCCATTTTTAATGAAATCCCGAAAATCACTTGAACAGGATTTTTACAGTTCATAATTACATTCAACATTCATTGTACACTATAATGATTTAATATGTTTTGCACAATCATCTGTTTTACGTGTGTGCTCAAGATTTGAATCTTATTTTAAGTGTTTGTTTGCTTCTGTGAAGTATTGTGGTTTTGCCTTTAAACCTGTAAGGCTTCCATCATTGTGATATTTAGCAAAATGTCCATCTGTTTATAGGCTGCAGGTGACTTAGATGAAGCTATCATGGGTAATATAATTATGAGTGAGTTCATTTTACATTTTGTTCATAATCATGGTGTTGGTGTGTCTATGGGGGTTGCGGTTTATTTAAATGTCTGGGTTGCCATGGGATGGGAGTTGTTCTTCTTGCTTTTGAACTGTGTTCAATTTTGGCATACTTCTAAACAATACCCTTTAAATGGTGGAGGTTTACCATATTTAAGAAAAATTGGCAAACAAAATTCAGATATGTGAAATAAATTATGTTATGAAATACAGATTATTTTAATAAGTTTGTAGTTAAATTAAAATTTCTTTTGATAATATTTCATTACATGGTCTGCTATGAGTATTATTTAATGTAAATAACATTCGTTTAAAGAGCAAAAACAACTGAAACAAATACATTTCTCTTTTTAATTAAGTCCAATAATGTAGGCAGGCTTCATGAACATAATGTTAGTAATGCCTAAGACTGCTTATTAAACTCATGTAAATATTGCCAAACAATTAAGTAACTATTTTTTGACAGGGTTTAACAAACGCCTTATAGACGATATTCTTGTGGAGTCACTGGAGGCAATGGGTCATGTTCCATGTGTACTTAAGTCTCTATCACCATTAGAACGTCTCAGGAACAACATAAACATATTAATGAAGGCAACAGTTCCGAAGGAGCAGATGGAGAAATTTCAAAAAGAAAACAAAACCACTGAAGAATTGCTGGAGCTATTGACCAATGAAAAGAAAAGTACCTAAGCTATTTTATTATTTGCAGAAAGAAAATCGATGTTAAGATTTTTAGCTTATAATCTAGGATTCAACTTATTTGTCATATTATATCATTACCACTATTTATACCATACACATTTACTGATAAATGTATTACATATTATGTGAACATCACTTAAGTGTAAGTTAATTTTCCAAGTTGAAACAATTTTAAAGTAATTAAGGTCTAGTGATAGCATCCCAAAGAAAGTAGTATGTATTTATTTGAAGATAAAAAGACAGTTCTGTCAAATAAATTATAATGTGGATGAAACTGTCACTGAAAACTTGCCATTAAAAACTAAAGTGATTTACCCAAAGGTCATATGTTATTACAATTGTTGGTTATTTATAAAAAAAATATTTTTAATTTACTTGTTTAAAGATTTAATTATTCATTAAATGTTATTTTTCCTCATAAGAATTGATAAATCCACAGCCTAATCCAAACTTTCAAATGTGGATCTAAGTGGATCACTTGTTTTAATTCAATTTATGATTAGACTTATTTTTTTTTAAATCTAATGTTTATTTACTTTGTTTTAAATTGTTGTTTCGAACCTAAGTATGTTTGTGCCATTGACGCTATCATAATGTGTTTTAAAATTATTAATACATACGTCACGGCTAGATACATAACAGGACTCCACGCCACGCATATCGAAAGTGAAGCATAGCAAATAAGCGGGATTTGTACATACAAGCCTCTCGCACACATTTACATCTTAGTATGCCGGCCGCCCACCATATGCGGATGGTGACTATTTATTGTAATATTTACTTCAAATTTTAAAAATAAAATAATGCCATCTTGTGTTGTGAAATGGTCATCCCATATCTCCTTCTTTCATTAATGGCCTCTCTTGTCATCTCATATCCGAGACAAATTGACAAAGAATAAAATTTTACACGTAAGGTACTAATTTAACTGGTTTAGTTATTATATTTTTGACATTTTAATGATGAATGATTAACATCGGAACTTAAAACTTGTATTATTGTTGTCAGGAAATAAATGGGTAATTCTCCCAAGCGATTCGGTAAACTACATTGTGTTATTTGTAATTATTTGTAATTATTTAGTATTGATTAAAATTATAAGAAAAATCAGAGGTAAAAACCATTGGATTCTATGTAAATAATCGCGATATTAGGTATATATGTATATATACATTTTGATGAAAACAATTTGTAAACCATGGAAAATGGATTCCATGGAACCGGCACATTCGTGAAACAGCTGAAGCTGCTGTGTAGCCCTACCACTACTGGAATCATAACCATAATTTTATTTCGCATTAAATTTGAATACAAAGAATCATGTTTTTCAATAGGGATTCTTCGATCGATAAAAAAAACTATCCCTTTCATTAAATTCAGTCGCTTTGTCGTGATTCGAGTTATTTTCGAATTTATAATATAGCATTGAAGGCAAAATTTTCTTTTTATTATAAGTATGTAAATCTTTGGCTATGCGTAGCGCGGAGTCTTTATTTTTGTAGTTCGTGATATACATATGTATCATAAATATAGTATCTAAAATGACTTCATATTCTTTTAGTGTGATACAGTGCCATCACTTGATTTTCGCCAATAAGTTATTTGTATTGATATTGTATGAATAAATCGCGTAAATCATATGTCGACATAATGGTAGTAACTTTATTTATTTATTATGTAAAACCGTATTCATTAATATAACAGTAATAATGTAGGTGCATAGAAAACATTAAAAATTTTGAAATTGGATTATATACAATCCTTTAAGTTGATACCAAAAGATGTTCATTTCTCTGCACAATAATTTCTATGTACCTACAAGAATATAATAAAGTTAAGCTCAATATAAAAATAATGACGAAAATATATCGTAATTAAATTTAATACTTTAGGTTAATGTACCAAAGACAAATAATATTAAATGAATGTCAATAAAATGTTTTATTTTTGTTTTAATAATATCTAGCTGAATGAATAGCAGCTTAAAGGAATTTTGGAATACAATATTATAAATGTAGCCACAATGTAATTACCAAACAATATTATAAATATAGTCGCAATGGGATGATCATCGGCAAATATTTGCTTTTAAAACAAATTAATTATCTATATACAATTATTATGACATAATTATAATTTCTTTATGTACCCGGTTCTCATAAAAGTCCCCACTCGGCGAGTGGGAAGCCTTCACCAGTTTTGTAATCGCTAATCAGACAATAGCAATGATTTCGTAAAATGTCCTTGGGCAAAGCGTTAGTGAAGGCGATGATTTATAACAATATAACCGGTGCTAATTTTCCTGTAATATAAAATATAAAATATTTCTACCCACTACAGTTTTAATGTAAAAACTACTTATCGAATATTCATTCTTCAAGACTGCTAACAGTTGACTTCATGGCACAGTTGCCAAGGTATTGGCTTCGGCATCGAAGGTCGTGGGTTCGATTCTCACGCGGAACAACTATTTGTGAGACCCACAGATAGTTGTTTCGCATCTGGATGTTTGTACGTCCTCACAATACAGGATAATGTTTTCCTAAAATATGGACAATGTTTTTTATTAAAAAGAATTAAAGAAGTCAGTTTAAATTTCAATAAAAAAATAAGGAATTACACATGAAGTCAGTCCTGGTCCTAGCCTTTGATCAGGATAGAACAAGATTGTCTTTCTGCGGCCTTTAGTTAGATGCTTTCACTTTGCATAAATTGTACATTGGTTTTATTTATTTTTGGTGGGAAGGTGATTAGCGAGCTTGCGGTTCACCTGATGTTAAGTGATACGCCGCTCATGGACAGTTGCAACACCCATAGGGTCAGTTGCGTGCAACATTTTAGTGAAATAGACTATGTTTACCTCACTCACCAGACGAAACGCAAAAGTATAATACTTCTACTTCATACCGTTTTTCGTGAGCTCGTGGCATCTCCCCAGACGGACCTGCCTATTCGTGCAACAGCAATCTTCCATATCTAGCTATTACTCTGGTATGGTATTAAGTGACGGCTGGTGTTAGAGGTTCCAATTTCACAATTATCAGTCTGGAGCGGTGAGGAAAGCTCTTGAAAAAGGCTGTATCAAAAATGCGAATTGTACTAATTGTTTCCTCAGGGTCTTTAGCAAGCGATGAATTGTCGGTTCGGTTCGGAACGCGCTCAATTTACCACTAGAGTATATTTTGGTTGATTACTCATAAATATGTTCATAATTAAACACTTTTTCGCAGATTAACTTTGCAAAATAATTGATTAAGTAAAGCGAGCTCCCAATCACAATCTTTTTTTTATGTGAAAAGTTGCCAAGCGAGCAGGCGGTTCACCCGATGTTAAGTGAATACCGCCGCCCATGGACCACACTCGAGGGATCAGATGCGTTGACAACCTTTTGAAAATTAGGCTCCGGCTACCTCACTCAAACGAAACGCAAAAGTGAGGTCGCGGTACTTACCCGGACAAGCCTGCCCATTCGTGCAGCAGCCGAGGCTGCTGCGTGGCCAATCGTAAAGAAAGTCGTTGTTGCCCTAATACTACTAAATATGTTGACTTAACAGATCAATTTATTTTGGAACGCCTATAGTTTATTCCGATTACACTGAATACCAGTGAAATTTAACCGTCATTGGCTAATTGTATTTCGATTTATCTCCATGAACACTTCCATTTGAAGGCAGTAAATAAAATAACTAGCAGTTTGTGTTAATTATATACGTCATATCGGTCCTGATGCGCAATCTTCATATAAACCTTGTTACAACAATTAAATAATTAAGTGGAGTCCATCATTCATTAGTTATAACCTAATTTAAAGGAGACAGTATTGTGTAGGTCCCAGTTTTATTAAATCACGTCTATTAAATTGAGCTTTTAAATTAAAAAAAATATTAAAATATATGACGGATTCAATAGCAAATATGTAACAAATAATAAAATTTTATAAAAAATAATAATATTGAACAACAAATAGAAAAATTATGTACCTATGTCGAATTATCCATGTTAACAAGGGTCGCCGAGATCGGATGAGCGGATGGCGTCATCGTGTTATCATCAAGCATCAGTTATGTTGTTTGAACTGAGTCGTCATTACACTCCTAGGAGTGTAATGACGTGAGAGGAGGCAATTTCCCGGGATGACCTCCTCACTGCGACGTATGTGCCAAGGAGACGGCCCACATTGTCCTATAGGTATATACTCAGCTTGGCAGAAACAGCGCCGAAAGCTGATGTTTGTCGTGGGGTGCGACCTCTGATAGGTAGGCGTTCACAGGCCTTCTCTTTTCAGGTGTTAGGCCACACAGTACGGCCACGTGGTGCCGTGTCAGTCAATTTTTTTTTATGTGAAAAGGTGGCAAACGAGCTAATGGTTCACCTGATGTTAAGTGAATACCACTAGCGATGGGCGTTGAATCAACGAACTAGTTGAATCAACCGTTGATCTCTTGTTAACGAATTAACTTTAACTGTCATTGAAATCAACTAGTTGAATTCGTTAACGTCGTTTCGGAAATTTTGTCGTTGAATCAATTCGTTTAAAAACGCAGTCAACGATACGTTAAGTCAACGGAACATAAGCAAAACGAATTGAAAACCTTACGTTGAAAAAAACGTCACAGAGTTGAGTTGAAATGTTTGTTTAATTTTATGAACGACATGTTTAAGTTCACTTTCTTTATTTTTGTTTGACAGTTTGTGAATAGTTGCGAACAGGGTTATAGAATATTTTGCGGCTTTGCGTAAATATTATTAGAACTTTACTTCATGTTTAGTGTTTTTTGTGAATATGTTAATTTTTAATTAATTATATTTGGAATTTTATTTTATGTTATTAGTTTTGTTTATCAGAATTTAACTTTCTGGTTAGTGTTTTTTTTTTATTTTAATTTATGATTATTTAAGTGTATAGAGGACTGTGGGTACAAAATTCAAAATAATTGAACGTATTAACAGTGAGCTATGGCTTCATCCCTAAAAAGACAGTTTTA